ATATTGCCTTCGGTAGTTCTGCTTTGAGTACTGAATCTAAGCGTAGCTCCTCTAAATGGTGAGAAGTTGCTCCTAGTGCGTATTTCTGGCGAGAAGTTTGCCTGCCGTTTATTTGGTGGGAGGATTGGTATTTCAACTACGCTAGGTATAGTAGTCTGCGTAGGCGTCGCTGGTTCCGTGGTTTCCATATCTATCTCATTCTGGATCTGAGCTTCGATTTCTGCTCTCGCCTGGGTGCCTGGCACGTGTACGTCGATAGTATCACTATCGGGTGGCATTTTGATTACTAATCCACCTGGTCTGTGTGTTTTTCGGTGAAAAATAAGACGTGTCTAAAGTGATCACTTTAACAGCCTATAGCTCCACAGCGCGTGGCGTGCACGCTTTAAAGGTGATTGTAATCGATTTCTCGCGAGGGGTTTATATATATTTGACTAAAATTACACCTATTCTAGAAAACTCGAAGTTGTCTGATTTTGTGTATGAAATTGTTCTACCCCATATAACTGCACAGAAAAAAGCGGGTTTGTTGTATCCGGCATCTAACTTGACAAATTCACAGTGGAAACACGCCCAGATTGAAAACAATGTCGCTTTGGATTCTTCGAAAATCAATTTGTCATTGTGCAAGGTGCTGTTTGCGGGTTAGACAATGGATGTGCATGTGGCAAACGAGGTGAAGTTTTCGGTCTTGTTTTGGCGATTGAGGTGGGAAATTTGTGATGGAACTGGGAAAACAGCTGGAATATGATCTTCTCGATGCCACTGCTGAAACATAGCTTGATAGAAGTCGAGAGATACTGTCTTTGCGATCAGTTGTTCGGTTCCATATGAATATTTACGCCAAAGCAATGATCATCACGTGAAAATTGGACAGAAAACAAGAGCTATCTTGATTCGAACACAACAAAAAAGAATATATTGAGAAAGTAATTACCACGAAGCCTACCACTCTCACTCTACTCTAGCAGAAAAAAATAAGTAATCAAACTGTCTAAAAGGCCAAGCACCAGCTCGTCGCAGCTGAGGAATCCACCCCAGTACTAGATCTCTAAAACTCTATACTCATAAAATCTATATGCATAAAAGCCCGCCGATTCCCCTCACACACTCCTCTCCTAACCGCGCCTGGGGCAGTCAATGAATCCACCATCAGTACGGCACTGCTTGCCAACAAGGTAAGCCCACTATTTTCCACATGTTAGTCAAATATCTCCTGTCGTCTGAATTCATCTGTACTCACGTTTTGGAATCCACCATCACCCTGGCGAGTAAACGTCTTAGGCGAGCTAAACAAAACAACATCATAGGTAACATCTGCGCCAACCGCTGCATGGTACTTAGTCGAGACCACGTTCTGGTAGCCGGGACCCTCGAGCTTGTAGCCGACGTTACAGACGACGATGTTGAAGCCGGGGTAGCGGGCATGGACGTCGGAGGCGACGCGTTGGGTGAATTGCTTTCGGCGCTGGAATTCAGTTGCTCGTTAGATATGTTTTCTACGATATGTGAAGGGAGAGATGAGGGGGGCTTACCTCGACGTCGTCCCTGATGCTGTCGATCATCTTGACGACGCGGGTGGCGATGTCGATGACGACGGGGGCGATGGCGGCGGCAGCTGCGCCAGCGGCGGGCGAGCGAGCGACGTTGGGGAGGTCGTTGGTGGCGCTGGGGTGGGTGTTAGTAAGAGAGGGAATGGAAGGAAGGAAGTAGACGTACCGGAGAGCCAGGCCCTGTTCGACGGATATGGTGTCGATGTTGACCATGGGGGTGGCGAAGACTGAGGAGCCCATGGCGAGGAGGGTGAAGAAGGAAGCAATTTGAACCATTTTGAAGGATTGAGTAGTTATACTGGGTCTATTTGTTGAAATGAGAGTGGTGGAACGAGTGGAAGGTTGTTAAGTGAGTGTCTGAATGAGTGACTGTGAGATGCTGTGTGAATTGCCTCTAAAACAGAGGGATTTTTGTCTGTTTAAGTACCTCTTTCTGTCTCTATCACATTCATAATTTGATACTATGCTTTAGCTTCTAGAACTAATTCACCGCTTCTATCAGATTGCAGTAATTTCCTCTTGACTTTGGAGTGCCTAATCATACCGTTGATACTATGACATCATGACACTGACATTCTGTCTTCCTAATACACTCAAACGTTCAAACTTTACATATCAGCCCTCCTGTAACGCAAAGTTAAAACTACACTATCTCATTTCTGTAGCGGCCTAAGGCTGTATACTGACACTCTAGCCCAAATTCTAAATATCAAAGATCGAAGACGCAGATCGATTACACTTGAATCTTGTGCCATTTCCTATCATCTATCACTATCTCATTACCTAGAACGCATGCCAAGCGCAGCTGCTGTTCAATTTTAGTAATTTCTCGCCATCTCTAGGTTACTACCGGCTCGACCAGACCAAACTGAAACATAGAGGAGAAGTTCTCAGCCCTGTGGCTTTAGGTTTAAGCCTGTATTAGTTGCATCTAAAATACACACCAAGATAGATACCATAGCCACACCGTACCGATATTTACAGATGTCACATGTCAGCTTAAGCAACAATGTACAAAGCTTTATTAGGCACGATAGGAGTTACAAGCGGGATGCTCAATTTTACAGCCATTCTTTGGATGAACGCTCTGAAGCTATCCCTGTATATTTGAAGTATAGAGTATGCAGATCCCGTTTTATCCGCAATTCGCTGAGCTTAGACAGCCTGATCCTGAGTACATCGCCAGGTGCATCCTAGAAGCTGTTGTGGGCAAGCTACTAATAGGCTGCGGATATTTATTCGACGAAAGCTTATTCTGTCGTTAGACGTCGTAAGGCTCCCTGCATCTAGCGCATGCGCTAATAACTAAAGTTCCGTGGTTGTATCATCCAGTACGCCAACCGTTTTCCCACGAATTAGTAGGTAGACTAGCTTTGCGTTAGTGGCTTTTACAAGCGATTAGTAGACAGCTTGCTTGTATAGTCTGAAGTATGTTTAATGCTGTCTCTCAACGCTTATACCAGGGCCGCGCTAGAAGCTGTGACTTATGATATTGAGTTTCACACGGTCAGCGAAACCAGATGACGATATCGTTGAGAAACCTTACTTTCAGCTTCTACCACAAGCGACTGTCTCACCGCCCTCTAAAGTTTCTCTGGGCCTTCTATCTCTTCTACTTCGTTATTATGCTTTGCATCACGCATGGCGAAACTCGGAGCCCCGACACGTGCAGGACAAGAGAAGTGACTCTTTACAAGTTCTGTTCGCCCAGACCTGTCACGACTAGATGTTTAAGTCAACTTCACTCTATATAAACCATCGATACCCTCTGAATAACCTGTCTTCATAAAGACTGGAAACACTACGCTCATGCTCATCTGCAACTACTTTATGGTTGCAAGTGTTCGTGTTCTTCACGTCAGGGAGACGCTAGCCTGACATGGCCCTTGGGGAAGTAAGTAGCCGGATAAAAATTGCGTTCATCATTAGCTCAAACTACAGCAAGAATCACTAGTTATGAGTAGTGTTATACAATCTTCGAAAGAAGTGGAAGTATTACTTCGTAGGCTATTATTTTTTCCAGTTTTAATAGCTAAGTAGTGCGTGATGTTGGTGTTATTAAGGAGTTGCACTATTATAGCAGTGGCACTTTTTATCCGGGTATTTTTGTTCCCCAATAAGCATGCATGCAGCCTATAGCTCCCTTGGCATCGATGAAACATACTATAGCAGTACATAAGGGTTCTCAATGTAAACCAAACATCATCTGTTCGTGTAACATAAACTACTTGATATATGTTCTTG